CTCACCGAGTCACAGTACCGATTCACGCCATCGATCGGGCTCGGACGAATAAGGAGGGTACAGCGACGGATTGCCCAGTACTGATCCACAGGAAAATACAGGGAGCAGCAGTAAAGATTTTTATCGACGGAGGAGCAAGCCACAGTTTAGTTAATACCGCAACCGAACGGAAACTGCAACTGACACTCAGCCGGTGCTTACCAGAGATCGACGCACGCTTAGTTGACGGCACGCCGCTAGCCATACGGGAAAGGGTGGACAGAGCAAAAGTTCGCTGCGGGGGGAACTTCGGGTTTACACAGGAAATGCTCGCGACGACACTGGATGGGCATGACATTTTACTGGGACGTGATTGGCTGCTTTTTACAACCCGAGAATTGACTGGACGACAGGAAGCTACACTGTGCGAAGTAGTGGTAACTGGGTCGAACTACCCCGCTGGCAGTCGCCTGAGTCTTCAACGGTCCACGTCAACGCCATCACGATGAAACGGGCAGTCGCCGCTGGAGCTGACGTGTACGCAGTGGATATTGCAGTAGTGGGAGAAACCGAGCAGCCGAACGATTTTCAGAAACTGCTTGCCGCGGTACCACCTAAACTACAGGAGCTGTTGAAACGGTACCCGGGGATTTTTCCCTACGACTTACCGGAGGGACTGCCACCTCAGCGGGCGCATGACCATAGGATAGAGCTAGAACCGGGGGCACAGCCAACTGTACAGCGCCAGTTCAGACTCACACAGCCCGAGCTCGACGAACTGAGGAAGCAGTTAGATTATTTGTTAGAGAAGCAGTTTATCCGACCGAGTTCGTCACCGTTCGCCGCACCGATACTGTTCACGCCGAAAAAAGACGGAGGGTTTCGCATGTGCATCGATTACCGAGCGCTCAACAGGGTAACTGTCAAGTCGCGGTACCCCATTCCCCGCGCCGACGAACTGATCGACCAACTGCGAACAGCACGGGTTTTTTCGAAAATCGATTTACGGGGAGGTTACCATCAGATTAGGGTCGAACCATCGGACTGCCCCAAAACAGCTTTTAGGACTAGGTACGGGTCGTTCGAGTACACAGTGATGCCCTTCGGGCTGACCAACGCACCAGCGACATTTCAGATGACCATGAACGAGGCGTTTCGACCACTTTTAGATAAATGCGTGATAGTTTACCTCGACGACATCCTCGTCTACAGTCGCGACAAGCAGCAGTACTTAGCGGATCTCGAAGCAGTATTTAAGATTTTAGAGGAACATCGGTTACTGACCAAGGGTTCTAAGTGCGAGTTTTTTCGGGATAGGCTATAATTTTTGGGGCACGTTATTTCGGAGGCTGGGGTTGAGATTGACCCGAAGAAGCTGGACACAGTCAAAGCCTGGCACCCCCCGACGAACATCACGGAGCTGCAGAGTTTTTTTGGGGTTTGTTAATTACGTCCGTCGGTTCGTCCCCGACATGGCTCGCTTAACAGCCCCACTGACGGATCTGCTACGGAAGGGGGTCGTTTTTACGTGGGGGGAGAAAGAGCATGCTGCCTTCTCTGCCCTGAAAAATGTTCTCTGTTCACCACCCGTCCTGCGCATCGCCGACCCACACCGCCCGTTCGAAGTAGTTACCGACGCAAGTGACATCGCCATCGGAGCCGTACTGCTACAGGATTTCGGCAACGGCCTACAGCCCATCGCATACGAGTCACGAAAACTGCATCCGCCCGAGAAGAATTACCCGATACACGATCGCGAAATGCTTGCGATCGTGCACGCGTTCAAAGTGTGGCGCTGTTACTTGACCGGCGCAGACGTGACAGTACGGACAGACCATAAATCACTACAGTACCTCCGCGCACAACCCCACCTCAACCCACGACAGATTCGCTGGCTCGATTTCCTCGAGTCAAATTTCCACTACACGGTCACCTACAAAAAGGGAGCATCAAACATAGCTGACGCACTGACCCGCCCCACTGCCCAAATCCACGCGATACTACTCGCCCAGACCAGCCCACTTTTAACAGGACTATTTACCCACTGGTATCAAACGGATCCATTCTTCACAGGAGGAAATTCGCAGCAGTTCGCAGCAGCAAGGGGAGTCTATTACGTAAAGGCCGGGACCGACCGCATCTGGGTGCCTGGGTATACACTGCTACGGGAATCACTGTTACAGGAGGCACACGACGGAGTTACCTCGGGACATTTTGGGGTAGAGAAAACACGGCAGCAACTGCAGCGATTTTATTACTGGCCCGAGATGTTGACCGACGTACAGCGACACGTGGCATCGTGTCCCACTTGCCAGATCATGAAGTCATCACGGAAACGGCCGGCAGGACAGTTGCAGCCGATACCACCCCCAGAGCGTGCTTGGCAGCAGGTGACGATGGACTTCGTCACGGGGTTACCGGCCGGAGCGAGTGGGAACGACGCGATCCTGGTCGTCGTCGATCGACTGACGAAAATGGCACATTTCGCAGCCTGCAAGAAATCGATCACAGCCGAAGAAACAGCCCGCCTCTTCATCACCACCGTCGTACGAGTGCGCGGGATACCAGCAGCAATCATCAGCGATCGAGACACGAAATTCACCAGCAATTTCTGGTGGAACCTGTGGCAGCAGTTTGGCACGCGACTACAGTTCAGTTCTTCGTACCACCCCGAAACCGACGGACAGACAGAACGGACAAATCAGACCATGGAGCAACTCATCCGAGCCACGTGCGACGACCCGACCACCTGGGAACAGCAACTGCCACTCATCGAATTCGCGTACAACAACTCGCCCTCCGCCACGACCCAACAGTCACCGTTTTACTTGAACTACGGACAAGACCCCAGAGTACCCATGACCCCGAATCCCGACAATCCCGTCCCACGCGCACAACAGTTCGCAGAAATATTACAAGCAGCACGGACCCGAGCAACAGAAGCCATAAAAAAATCAGACGCCATCGCTAAGCGCAACGCCGACCGACACCGCCGCCCCGTCACTTACCAACCCGACGACCTGGTATTACTCGACACTCAAAACCTCCGCCTACCCGTCACCCCAAAACTCCGCCCCCGATATTGCGGGCCATTTCGCATCAGCCACATAATCACCCCCGTCACCGCCCACCTCCTCCTCCCTGCTGACTGGTACGCCAGCCCGTCATTCCACGTCAGCCTGCTTCGCCCATACGTGCCATCCACCAGCCAACTGCCTCGCAACCGCCACGCCAGCATGACACGACCACCGACTGAGCCAATCTTCACGCCTGAAAAAATCCTGAGCCATCGAGTACGTGACCCACGGGGAGCCCGCAGAATCGAATTCCTGATCCGCTGGAAAGACCGCACGCCCACGGAGGATAACTGGGTCCCCCTGGATAGAATTGAGAATCACCCTGTCCTCACCGAGTATCTACGGAGCCGCAATTTCCGGGATGTACACGCGCTCTCGTAAGGAGGTCCTCCTTAGGGGGGGGGGTAGTGTAAGGAAAATTCATTTTCCTTACTTCGCGTCCCTACTCAGCGCGTACACCACTGTTCCCGCCAACAGCACCCAACAGTAATCCGTTACCACTCGCGACATTCGCCTCGACACTGCTCCCGCCACTGTTCACGACGCGACCCAACCTCACGGTTCGGTTGGTAACTCGCGCTCCGGACCTCCGCCTCGCCACTTCCCAACCTCGGCGCCAGGCCCGTCGCGCACCCCAATTTCTACGCATTACCGTTACCACTGTAGTTTCGCTATATATTCTTCGCTCATGCCTTCGCTCATTGTACTTTTTTCTTCGATAGTGCAATTGCTCACTCAATTGCACTCGTAATAGTTTACGACGTCGGCGAAAACTGTGAGTTCCTTACAGGGAAAACAAGCAACCAGTCGCACCTGAAAAATGTTCGCCGCATCCTTTGTTGCGACACTTCTCTTTCGCAGTATGATGTCGCGAGTGCGAGGCTCTCGCAACCTATCCGAACCTACCTTCCAAAGCTAGAATTTCTCGCTTTGACTTCGGTAACCTTGTTGATGCTTGACTTACCTCCGCTACGAACCACAGGAAAAGTCGCTGGGAGCTTTTCCACGAGTCGGAATGCTGTTACCCTTTCTTCTCCTCCCCGTAAGCATCCATGAATCGGATGGGTTGATTTGCCAGTCATCCGTGAGAAAATATGACACAGCATGGGGACCTCCGTCCGCCAGGCACGAAGTGCAGGCATTTGCTGACTGGACATGGGTCGTGGAGGCTTGAGTGGGTTCAAGAAATGCTCCTGGGCAAGTTGGTTCCAGACGAGGGGTGTGTGGAATCAAGACGAATATCGTCACCGGTCTCGCGAGGGGTGTGCGAAGCGTGTAGAAGGTAACACACTGACGTGTCACTGTGACATCCGTCGGAACAAAACATTGATAGCATTGAGCGCAGGTGGTCACACGAGAAGCATTTCGCAGCGTTTTTTTTCTGCCTATGTAAATACTAACTGCTGTGTGAGTCTCCGAAAGTCGTTACAGGTTAACATTCGAATATCAAAGTTATCGGCTGATTACCCTAGGCATCCTTCAACATCCTCACCTCACAGAGCTCCCCTTCCCAGCTCGTCGGCGTGTAGGGTGACAATCCCATCTCTTGTTTTCCGATGTCCTTCGACGGGTGTCAAGCAAATCATGTCGATGGCGACGCTTACGCACCACGAGTACATCATTCAAAAACCGCCAGCTAAGCGCAATGTCAGCATCAAATTATGTTTTCAGAGTTGCTACATCCTTCGAAATGCGACTCGGACGCCGAAGTCCTCACAGCAGACAAAGCACGTGACGTGATATTCACCACTCCTCTCATATTCACCAGACGTACTTCTAGTACCAGCAGAGTTCAGAGCAGCCAGACTAAGTAGTTCGCATTCGTTCGAAGCCTTTGTTTCCCTCGCCCATTTCTTTTTCTCGATGGAAACTCTTCCACCTCCGTCTCAACCGTATGCGGTCGTGGGGCCGCAGTACTGCTTACCGTACGAGACTATGCTTGAAATGAAAGAAAACTTTCTCACGATTACGGGTAAAAAGGAGGTTCGAGACACGAACAAAAATCTGCACTTCACTATCGCGAACAGGTAAGAAATCGATCCAATCGCCTCGTTATGCCGTCACCTGGCACATGATATGCCTAGTTTCCTCCCCGTCCCGTACGGGCCGTAATATTCAATCAACACACGTGTCCTTTGCTTTTCAACTCCCACCCACCAGGCTGTTTTCTGTTCCCAGCAAGGTCGAGATTCTGGACGCTGCAGGAGGACCAGTGTGCATGCTAGTAAGCAAGGTGTTCACGATTCGAAACACCACCTATCTCTGTCCGGGAAACAGCACAGACACGGATGGTCACTTGCTAAGGGCTAGGAAACTCCTCTTCACCATTGCCCCCGTTCTTGAGGTGCGCTCACTACCAAAATATCCTACCTCATTTCTCTCAGTTCAATCTTCCAAGTTTGTTGCTTAACGGTTTCACTAATTTTACTCTCTTGCAGGTTTTCTTGCGGGGAAACAATTCAGACAACCCGGACATGATATTATCTGGCTCAATTTTCAATTATGATTTCAAAGTTAGTTTCTGCCAACCCAAACCCTTCTTTCCCATGGCTCCCCTCCTTTTCTTCCACTCCCATTCATTGCAGAATGAGCATTGCTTTATCCTTTTTGTCATAACCCACTGATGTGTTCCATTCTGCCTTCCACTTGAAACCCGAAACCCAACTATTGATATGCCAGATCACCACCAGAAGTGGCATGCTATTGGCTGAAGTAGGTCGTGACTTGATGAATCTAGAACTTACTAACCAGACATACTATGTGCGAATCTTGCCGAATGTGGACATGGCGATGGTTCTAGCTCTGGTTGTTTTGGCGGTCTCTATGTTTGTTCACCACGAAGGGTCCGACACAAGTGCTGGCGGCGTTCGCGGTCACTGCACAGTGACATTCTGAGACAACTCCCAGAGATTTTGCTAGGATGAGAGTGTTGTGCTAGCGTTTTGGTAGAGTTCTTCAACAGCTTTTTACAATGCATAAGAGTATAATGAAGGCACATACCTCTTCAGGCAAATGAGAATTCACAAAGTACGTATGGCGCTGTGGGTGTACCCACCCACATGGTTATGTGCCTTGAGGGTAGGTGAACGCACTTCGTCGCAAGCCCAACTTATCTCAGCAAGTAGTTCCTACCGTGCACACAACTTCACCAAACAAACACTACTTGACCAAACACTAATTGAGAAAGGCATGCTCCTTATGGCAGCACATCAGTGGCCGCGTCCGTACAGGTCGCGAGCCACTCGTGTCCAGGAATCGTGGCGGTGACACACTGGACCTGAAAGTGGCCAACACCCACCAAGTTCCTGGAGAACGAGGGAATATGCATACCGTCATCGCCCGGATAGTAGACAGTGTTGAATAGTAGACAGGGGTTGTCTATTATCCGGGTCAGGCCCTCAGATTCACTTTGAGGGTCGTCAACCCATCAGAGTCCCCCTGTATGTAAACTCTGATTGACGGTGTTCAAAAAAAAAAAAAAAAAACCTGAAATGTCAGTGTTGCGTTTGTAAAAAGCCTGATGCATCAGTGTAGCACTAGTAAAAAGGCTGTCACTAACGCGTCGCATGTGATGGCAACGGGGCAGGATCCTTGGCAGCCCCCCAGCACCACATGGTGGCCACGTTCGGATTGGCCAAGACTGACTGCTGCAGCGAAACGGCCCAATGGTGTGAGGCGCCGCGCTAACAAAACACCTCTGAACGTGAACCAGAGGCAGAATTTCACAGGTTGGCCTCGCCACGGGGTGCTTACACCTCGGGAATCTGAGATTCCCTGTAATTGCGGTCAAATCCACATGGCACAGGTAAGAATCGCTTTAGTGTTGGTTTCGTTACAACGTTGTGGCATCAGTGTCCTAGGGGAAAAAAGTCTGAAATTTCAGTGTGGCCTAACAAAAAAGGCCAAAAGATCAGTCCCTCAAAAATCTCAACACTGACTTTTCAGGGTAGGTAAAAAAAGGACTGCCAAAATCAGGAATTTCAGGGGTTTTTTCCTGATATCTGAGGCCCTGATCCGGGTATCTCTTATAAACGGGCTAGCCTCATTACAAGACACCTATTTGTGTGTACGAGTCTAGAATGAGGCTAGCTCAGTGTAAGGGTTAGAGGCAATTGTATAACGGAGGGGTATCTTCTAAACGGTTCTTTGTCTATTTATAAGACTTATACGACACCCTAACCTCCCCAAATACAAGATAAACCCAAGCATTTTTTCTAGTGTACGAGATAAGACATATATGTCTTATAACGGTGCCAGATTCCCAACCACTAGACCATTGGGATAAAAGGGCTTGTTTGTATAGCGGGTTCGTGCGCCCATAACCCCCCAGGCGAACGCGCCTATAATCCCCCGAGGATCAATCGGGCATCCACAGTGCAGACCTACTGACACCCCCCCCACACTGGGAGGCCCAGGACTAAGCACAGCGGCAACGGCCTACATGTGCATACATTGGGATTCGAACCCGAGACCACTACCAGGTCAGAATCCCAACCACTAGATCATTGGGATAAAAGGGCTTGTTTGTGTAGCGGGTTTGTGCGCCCATAACCTCCGAGGCGAACACGCCTGTAACCCCCCTAGGATCAATCGGGCATCTACAGTACAGACCTACTGACAGACGGTGTCAGAATAAGTGCTATGCCTTAGGAACCTCCATAGCTTAGAGAGTAGCTTAGGAACTTGGGAAGGGGAGTAGAGAGAGGTGTGAGCCAACAAAAGAGGGGGTTCACTATAGAGCAAACAGTACAAATAGGCAAGCAAAAGCAAGAATGGTGCACCACCAACTAGAAATGCTATAACTACAGTAACCAATCCTACAGACTGTTGCATATAGAAAATATAAACTTATATTTTCCGACACGCCCCCATAACTGGCTGTAGGAGAGGAGTATGCAGTTAGCGCCCCCTGAAGAGGTACACCATGATTGCACAGCGGAAATTACAGCAACAGGCAAGTGCAGTGGCAACCAGAGCAGTGATGGCAGATCCAGGTGAACCAAACCCTCCGCCAAGGCAGAAACAAAAGCAGGTGTAGGGGCGGCAGGTCGCCTGAGGAGCAGGCTCTGTGGCTGCAACGTGCACTAGGACAGCAGCGGCTCGACGGCAGCACCTGCAGGCCCCTAGCAGCAGGCAGCAGAAGCAAGGCAGGTGACGCCAGGGGCGGCAGCTGGAGGTGCCACGTGTCAGAATCCCAACCACTAAACCATTGGGATAAAAGGGCTTGTTAAGTAGCGGGTCAGTGCGCCCATAACCCCCCAGGCCAACGTGCCTGTAACCCTTCCCTAGGATCAATCGGGGATCACCAGTGGACCTCTGACACCCCCCCGCACTGGGATGCCCGAAGTGCATACACCGGGATTCGAACCCGAGACCTTCGCTCTGATACCATGTCAGAATCCCAACCACTAGACCATTGGGATAAAAGGGCTTGTTAAGTAGCGGGTCAGTGCGCCCATAACCCCCCAGGCCAACGTGCCTGTAACCCTTCCCTAGGATCAATCGGGGATCACCAGTGGACCTCTGACACCACGACAGCATCGGGCGACAGCAGCAGATGACCGGCTGACTTCCGCCGCCCCCTCACTCTCCCCCCCACAATGGCACGCGCGGCAGTGAGAGAGAGGAGAGGAGGGGCGGCTGCTGGCTTGGCAGAATCTCTCTCGCCACCCCCTCACACTCCCCCCTTTCCCCCATAGCGAAAGACGCTGCAGGGAGAGAGAGGAGAGAGGAGGGCGGCAGCTGGTTCCTACGGGTACACTCCCGCCACACCCTCCCCCCCACAGCGACGGTCGCATGTGGGGCGATAAAGGGCGACGGCAGGCGCTGCTGGCGGCTTACAGCGCCCCCCCCCCCGTCACTCCACTACCCCCCCACAGCAGGCGCGAATGCTGCTGGCGCTGGCGGGATCGCAGGTGGGCTGCGACGAGCAGGACGAGGGGTCGTAACGGAGGGCGCGACGAGCGCCTTTGCGCCACTCGCCGTCGCTAGCGTCGCAGCTGCAGTCGCGGCAGCTGTATGATCGGCGGGGCGGGGCGGGGGGACGGTGTAGCGTGACCGGCCAGGCGTCGGAGCAGCGCGATGTGGCGATAAACGGGGCCAGCGAGGCGCGCGACGAGAGGCTGAACCGGGGCCGCAGCGAGCGCCATCGCCCAGCTCCCCGTCACGGGCAGCAGCGTGACGAGCGGAAGCTGCGTTACTGGCAGCGCGACGCACGGCGCGACGAGGGGCGCCATGAATGACAATAAAAAACAGGCCTAGGCGAACCAGGCTCTCGATACCATGTCAGAATAAGTGCTATGCCTTAGGAACCTCCATAGCTTAGAGAGTAGCTTAGGAACTTGGGAAGGGGAGTAGCGAGAGGTCTGAGCCAACAAAAGAGGGGGTTCACTATAGAGAAAACAGTACAAATAGGCAAGCAAAAGCAAGAATGGTGCACCACCAACTAGAAACGCTATAACTACAGTAACCAATCATACAGACTGTTACATATAGAAAATATAAACTTATATTTTCCGACAGACGGTACTAGTAAAGGAGCCGGAGGGGGCTGCTGGACACGCGAGCGTAGTGACACTATGCGCAACGACCGGTCCAGAGGAGGTGTCGGCTGGCGCAACAGCGACGGAAGCTCGAAGAGGCGTAAGGCTGGCGCGGTCGCGTATGAAGCACTGAGAGGCGCCAGAGACGGGCGCGGCGGCTGCTGAGGTCACTCCTGTACTACTAAATAGTAGAAGATCCTACACATGCATCATAAGTTCCTACAAGTGTATCAGCTATATATCCTAGACTAGAAGTACACGAATAATAGGGTCCAACAACACTAAAATCATGAGCATGCATAGCATTAGAAACATCATCCATGCTCATAGTGAAAACAGACACATTACTACGCCAAAGGGAGTAGGAGACGTCAACAGACTGTAGATGTCGTCGATGCGGCGGAAGTTGCGGGCTGAAGAGTGGTCATGGCGGCCGTGGAACTAGCTAGCGTCACAACCAAACTGAAGACGCTAATGGCACGGCCTGACGCTACAGCGGCTCTGGTTGTCGCAGTGCATGCGAAAGGTCAGCGAAGTTGGAAATTTCACATCCTGTAGGAGCTCCTATATATAGAGCCCTTCGCGAACTGCTGCTGTCGCGGCAATGAATTTTGCTTCCGCCGATGACAGGGCAACCAGTTCCTGCTTCTACGAGTTCCATGAGATGGGGCATGTTGGCTCGAGTCGAAATAGGAGCCCGATCTCTCCTACCATCACGAGCCAGCTGGCTCAGTACTCACGCAAACCAACGGTTGAGAATCTTCTGGAACTTCAGCGCGCTCTACATTTCTTCATCTCAACGCCCAACATTGGGCTCTACTACTCCTCAGTCATAACTCCCTCTTTCAACCTTGTCGGCTACTGCCGATCACGCCGCGTCTGCGCAAAAATGCGAGAGGTTGAGTCGCTCGTAGAAAATAATGTCACGCGCGTGCGTCACTTTGTTGCTGAGCAGGTCGAGGACGATCCGGGCTTTGTCTTTGTAGCTGATGTCGAGGTGAACGCCCCAGCGTGTGTGGCTCGTGAAATTCTTGATGGTTGAGGTAGGGGGCTGGTAATTCACCATACACCCCCAGACGCGG